CAGTCACCGCACACTTGCACATAACCATTGCACAAGCCAACTACAGATGTCCCCAGAGTGCACCCGTAATTTAAGCACTAGTCCGCCCACGTCAGTGTCACCCGGACAATAGGACGCTGGGACACAAGCACACAGGCATAGACCCAGCAGTGCTCAACCATCGGCAGTTCTTTCAGCCCATCCCTTTCTTTTGTCTGTACATGGTCTGTTTAGATTGGCAGCTCTTGGGAGCAAGTACCTAAGCCAACATTTTTTAAAAAGCAATTAGCAAAGTTGGGTTGTGATACTGAGAGGGTGGTGTGCTACGGGGCACACAGCTAGTGTTAGCAAAGGAAGAAAGAGTCCCCACTGCATTTCTGTTATATGGACAATCAACTTGTAACCACCAGCTTTTCCTCTACATGTTTTCTGCTAAGCTGCATTTAGGCACTGTAAGTCTCCAGGTGAATGGAAGGCTCCGATATGACAACACTGAAATCCATACAGCGGGTCTATTCCAATGACACAATGATTCATTTTTTCATGGTTTTAAAACTGTTCATTGGCATATGTTAGTCACAGTTTCCAACAGATGGAGGCATTTGCAGCAGAAAGCAAGCAAGAAACGGAGGCATTTAATATTATTTCAACTCATTGAGACTAAAAGATTTTTTGGAGAACAATTTGGCTTTTCCTTGCATGAAAGGCTGAAGGTGGGAGTGATGTGAAACCCTCAGAGGAATCATCCCTCCACAGCCTGACATGTGGAGAGTCTTCCTCACTTCTGCCAGGGCATGGGGGATGCTGGCCCCTTGCTGGCTGTGCTGACTCTCCTCCCAGAAGCTGCTCTGGGAGTATAAGATCTGTGGGCAAACGTTGAGCAGGGCAGGGGGAAAGATAAGCAGATCAGGTGCACCTGAGACCAGCAGCCCTTGGGGATTCCCTAAAAAAGGCCTCAGGATGGACGAGGTGGCATTTGGAGTTTTCCTTCAGAACAGCTATAGGCCATGGGTTTTCCTTGAACCTTATAAGTGAGATGGGATCACTTCAGAGCAGGGTCTGAGGGTGCCCTTAGCTTCAGTTGATCAAAGATGTACCCCCCTACTGACTAGCTTTGCGAGGAGGCAAAAGGAAATTTCTGTCCCTACAAAGGTGCCTCTTGGGCGAACAGCTTTTTAAGCTCAGTCTCAAATCCCGCTCAGCAATACCATTCTCTCTCTCTCTCCTCCTCAGCATCCTGCCTTTTGATATAAGGATGCCAAAAAAGTATTTGGGAAAACCACATCTCCAATATGTGATAATCACATTTAATGCCCAGCTTAACCTTGGACATCTCAGGCCTACTGGGGCTAAATCCATGTAACCTTTTCATTTTGCATCATTTTCAAGCACCTGGTCCATTAGTGAATTTTTCAGAGCTATGTAGGTTAAAACAATTCAATGAGAAAACCAGAAAGAAGCAGTCAAAAGAAGAAAAATCTAATTTTTCAGCAGACGTACACAGTAGGTCAAATGGCCTAAGGGAAATATTTAATTTAAGAGTCATACTATTTCTACCAAGTTTCCTAACCAAAAGTATTTTCATCAGGAGCACTACTCTTGATCTGGTTACTGTTAATGATTTTCCCCATGGACTTAGCTCATAAAAACATAAATTGCTTTATGAATCATAGAATCATAGAAGTTGGAGAAGAAAATGATGGGTTAGGTCATCCTGCCCTTCTCCCTGACAGTGCACTATTATTTCTTTTTATACAAAATTTTGAAAATAAGCATTTATTTAAAGCTGGAGAATGAAAATGCTAAGTTCAAAAGAGATTTTAAAAATACATAATGAAAGCAGTGGAGTAACAGCCAGATTCGTAAGTACCTTGGCTCTGTCCACAAGCCATGATAATGTAATAAGAAGTATTGTCTGGATAGGCACAGCCAGAAATTCAACAGCAAAAAAAGGACAATGGTATAAATCCTGTGCACAAGTAATTATCACAGTTGTAAATGCAAATACAGTAGTTACATAGGCAAATATCCTGCTAGGGAAACACCTGGCCGTCACAATAACCATGACCAAATATGCAATGGGACGTGCAAGAACCCAGTCTACAGGCCTTTGTGCAGAGTGAAGGTGTCAGATATGATAATGCACACCGTGTTATCATCACCTATTGTGATATCTCCACACATCCCAGAGAGCCAAAAGGTCTGTGCTTTGCATATTTGCTTTTGGAGCCTTTGGTTTGGGTATTCTTCTGTTTTCCAAAAATGACTTCAAATACTCCTTTGTATTACTTTTTGAAGTTTTTTCCCTGAGCATGCCTGGTTGAAGAGGCTGCCCATTTTCATTAAAAAACCTGCTTTGAGAACCCATCTATTTCTGGCTCAGAAACTGCTCTTGATTTGACATTCTTTGAAGTCAAAAGAAAATGTTTCTGTTATTTCTTAAGTTCATCAATTTAAAGGCTTTAAAAAAAAAAAAAAAAAAGGCATTTCTACACCCTGTAAAGTTCAGTAAAAGTTGTCCTGGTGTGAAGTTCTGACTTTTGTCTCAGATGGTCTCCGTACTCAGAAATGGCCCCTTACCTTCCCACATTTTTCACAGAGAATGCAGGCACTCACTAGAATTCAAACTGGCTCAGAACTGTTATAAAGTAAATGAATCAAAAAGTGTTGCTGGAGTTGCTTTTGGACTTCATCATGTTTTTTCTAGATCTCTGTAAGACAGCAGTTTCTAATTTTGTTCCCATTACTGTCTTCCACTGATTTCTTTTGAATTGGGACACCTTAGAAAATACCTCTCAGTATTTCTCTAATTCCTTAAGTGAGAGAATGAGTCATAGATATGTAAGCATGAACGTTCCCAAATATTGATTACTGAAACTTGAAACACCCTAATCTTGCAGTTTTTATTTTGAATACAAAAAGGCTGATATCATTTTAAATCCCTTCAATACACAGTATGAGTGTTTTGATATGTCTAACTGCAAATCTTGTAGGTGGGTTTGCACAGGTTAGAGCCCCGCAATCTGTTTTTGTACAGGCTACGCATCTAATTGGACCAATGCAAAAGAGGATAAACCCACCGAGCGCGAGTATAAAAAATAAACATATAGCCCAGACCTGCCAGAACTGTCTCAGAACAGCGAATGCACTGGATACCACTTCGTTTTTCCTTTGCAGCCTGTGGTGCATCTCTATAGGCCAATCTGTATCTCAGCATAAGGAGGAGAGGAAATACCAGACTGATCGTGACAGCCACTGCTATTCAGAAACCCTTGGTGAGAAGTCAAACTGAAGGACTTTGCAGCCCACTTACAAATGAAGGGAGCACAATCCCTTCTATGCTGCGTCATGAATGACTTGGCGATAAAAAGAGCTTCGCATTCCGACTGAGGGGGAAGCCTGACCTCTCTTCCTGACATGCATAAAGCCTCCTCCACTATGCAGCTGATCTGCCTACAACACAGTACAATTATTTACAAGGAAGCTTTTACATACATATGAGTCAGGAAGATACGTGTGTTGCTTCAGTATGTATTATAGCTCTACTTCCTTTTTAAAATGTAGAATCTTATTAAATATTAACTATTATACCAACTGAAGAATTGATTTAAAACCGTAGGTATGCCCACAGGATGATTTTGTTTCTTACCGTTCTAGCAGATTCACATTAAAAAAAATACAGCTTATTTGTTGTCTGCAAACTATGAACATGCCCAGGTAATTGCATATGCAAATCTGGAACTTGCAAATACCAATATTTTTTTTATGTGCACAGCTGCCTGGTTCACTGGGGATATTTTTCAGGGACAATTCAACCACACTTTTAAAAAACAAACAAACAAACGAACACCAAACTAAATAAGAAGCCTTATCCCGTGAGCAGTATTTGTTTTAAAGTCTGGCTTCAAATTCAAAAAATATAGGTCAGAGTTTTCCACTAAATGCATGCAGCATCATCATGCAACTCAGACACATGAAAGGCTCAAGAAGAAAATGCACAGACAAGACATGAGTTTTCTAAGCTATTTTAGTGGAAGTTTCAAACCTTTCTTTTCCTCCATTCCCTAGTTAAGCAACCCTGAGCTGCGAGTCTCATTCTCTAGTGGGTGTTTGAATCCTGCTGCTCTCTTCTCCTGGGATGATTCCACTTAAGCAACAGCCAGAACTTCTGCCAAGCATGCAGGAGGAGTGCAAGAAACTAACCACAAACCTCAATTTCCATGAGGGCATTTCGATAAAAATAAGAAAATGCCCCATTTGGGCTGGTGACTGAGGTTAATGATTGCCTCTGGTAACAGGCAGCACATGTGCTGCTGAAGCGTCTATAGCTGCGGATCTGCTCCACCCTCACTCCACTTCACCCCCCAGACAAAACAGCCTGCCCTTGCTGACCGAACCAAACAACTGCCTGTGTGAAGGGTGCAGGTATTCCCCTGGAGATATCAAACCATACAACTTTTTCCTTGTACTTAATTCTTAAAAAAAGAAAGGAAAAAAAAAAAGAGAAAAGGTTGGCTGTCTGTGAGCATGGGTGCTCCTAAGCTATACAATGGCACGAGGTACACTGAACTCCACAAAGCAGCAACCAGGTGTCCTCTCTCTGGCGTGTATTTATTTTTGAAAAGTTAGGTCAATGACATATTGGTTTCCAATGCTTTAAAACTCTCTTAACGTCTGAAAGGCAAGACTACCAAGAAGTGACGTGTGAGGTATACGCTGCCCACCTTTTACCAGCATCCCTTCTGTCAGCTTTTGGGTATGATCAAAATCATCCCCAGGTGATCTATCCCTGGATACTTTAGAAATGCAATGCAAGTCATATTCTAGATCAGCTGGACACTCATGAAAAACAAGGCTTCAGGAAGGCATAATTAAAACCATTCGTAGGACAGCCTTGGCTTAAAACACAGTCACTGCTCTACATGCTCTGTGTTTTGCTGCATTTCATGTGGCTGGTGATGAACTCCTATACTAAAACAGTCAACTTGGCCTTCTGCAAATACTGATGTTAGCTCACTTACTTCTGGGCTCACGAGGTCCGTCCACTGTTATCTTGATGGCTCTGTGGTACGTGGCTACTTGTGGTGGATTTGTGAAGACTGTGATAGTCAGCGTGAAGCTTTTCCCTGCAAAAGGAAAAAAAAAAATGTTTCTGAGCATATACGTTGACAAAAGGTGTACTCATTTCAGATAGCAGTCAAACACACCAAACGGCACTAAAACACTTTAACTGTCTGTATCTGAAGATATATATGTGCCCATAGAGCAGGGTGTATAACCTCACAACTGCCTGGTGCTGGATGCGTTCCCTCTGTGGCAACTGCTCAAAGCATTCAGAGAAAAAATTAATTTATATTTAAATGATCTACACTTTGTAAAAAAAGGAGGTTACCCCTAACAGTTAGAGTTTATCTGATCTACATGACTGCTGATACATTATTTGTATTTTCTAAAGGGTGGTAGTTCAGAGAGGCTTAGAAATCATGGCTGACTCTTCCAAAACTGCCATGGGAATCTGATCAACAGCACTTGTTAAAATTAAAGAGAACTGGGTGCTCAAATCCCCTAGGCAGAACGTAAAATCCCACGCTTTGTGGTTGAAGATAGCATTAGATCAATTCCATACTGCGAATCAGAACCCTTTAAAAATAATCTGCTACTGCAATGCCAAGAAACAAGGGAATGGAAAAAAAAAATCCCTACGGCTTGTCCACAGAGAATTAAAACATTTTATGAAGACATAGCAGAGCATTATGCTTAGGTTTTCTATTATTCAGTAAGAAAATTGTGAAGGCCTTTTCAAAACTGTTATGTGCATGGCACAGCTCTAAGTTGGGAAAAGTACTTGTTTTGATGATGCTGGGAAAGGTTTTGTATCCCCTTGTGACTGCAGTGCATTCAGATCCTGCTACCTCTGGATCTGTTTATGGCCATTGCCAGCATTTACTTCAGGCATTTTTTAAATAACAAAAGTAACTTTCTGCATTTTTGATAAGACCTCATATAAGCATACATTACGGCTTTGGCCTGGACAACAATAAAAACATTGCCTGTCAGCAGGTTTAGCATAGTTATCTCAGCATCACAGAGGACTCAGATACTGACAGGAATCTTTGTTATCAGTAAGAGACATCAAGGGACATCACCCCAAGTTAGATAGCCAGGAACTGTTGTAAGAAAATTGAGGTTCTCCTCTTTTGGGCACACGCTGTGTAAGCTTTCCACACAGATCTGCCTGCTTCATTTTACCACGTGGCTCCAGCCCTCCTGAGTGCTGAGATTCTTCCCTTGTAAGACTTCCCATTTTTATTGTTTGCTTCATTTGTCTATATAAATAAATATAAATTTAAATATAAATGTAAACACTAACGCCTGCCTCTAGCAGCAATATTCCCCCCCCCCCCCATCTGCCATTCACTTGCAATTCAATACTTCTCTTAATGCAGTTCCTACTTTGGTGCTAATGGTCTGCATCAACATCACTGGGAGCACACACACATAGCTGTTACTGGAAACTGTCCTCATCATGTCCCTGTGAATTAAGGAGGTATTCTCCCCACTCTATGGATGAGGAACTGTGGGGAGATAAAGTGTCTTGGCCAAGATCGCACAGGAAGCCTGTGGCCAGTGATGCTAACTACTTTGGCTGCTGAAACTAAATCCAACTATAATCCTGAATCACAGCCCTGACAAAACAGAAGCTGAAACACAAGCCTTGCAAATCGCAGGCCAGTGTCTTCCCACCTCCACATCCTCATGAGAAAGCAGTCCCTGAGATCAAAAGAACTGCAGCAGAACCACAAGTCCCTGTCTTAGGGCCTTTGGCCCTCAACTCTTGGGTCCTACATCTACCCAGAACAAGGACCGCTGTGTTCTTGACATTCTTTAAATATCAAATCACATGATAAAACTTTACAGCTTTGTTACTGTTTCTCCACCAGCATAACACATTTTTCTATGAGACATCAGTAATAAAGTTCAATAAACTTCCTTCCAAAATACTTTATCACCTTTAGCATTAGACTTAACATACATCAGAGAGGCACCTGTAGTTTCTAAAAATAATTTCCCTGTATTGTTATATACAACACCTAGATCACTAAGATGGAAAGAGACTGAAAACATACATTATTCTCTTTACTAATCTGCAGTATTTCCATCTTGCTTCCCCCCCCCCCCCCTTTTTTTTTTTTTTGACAAATGCTGATGCATTAGGTAAGGTGTTCCTGCTGCTTTGCTAGAATATATAGTCAATTCATTTCTTTAGAAGGCTCTTGTGGATTATCCAGGTAGAAAAGAAATGGAGAAAAAAAGTTATAACAATAGTAAAATGTAGTAAAATGTGTGCGCATTGCCAGTCTACAAGAAGAGGGAGCTGAAGTTACTTTCAAGACTTTCTACAGAACAGACTTGATTTCAGAGCCTGTATAAGGTTGTGACACAAGTTGTCAAAAGCAGGAAGATACTTAGCTTACTTCTTGTTGACAGAAGACTATTCATTAACCACATACTGGTTAACCACAGGACTATATAACCATAAACCTACATGTCACTCATTGCTGCTTACCAATAATTCTGGCTGTGTTTTTTCTCTGGTTATTCTGTTTCATTTACATGTAGCTTTATTAAGTGGTTTTGTCACTGCTATTCATAGCTTCTACATTATTCATCATTTGTGTGTCTGGTTGACAAAGGTAGATTTAGATTGGAGGTATTGTTATTGAAATCTATGGTTAATGGATATACCTGTTTGGGGGTGACCGCATGACTACAAACGTCTCCTCCTTTCTTTTACATATTATGATATAGCCAAGGTAGAAGATAAATTTTTGTTTTCAAAATACACTTGCATAATACACTTAAGCACAAGCACGTGCACATGCTCATGCACACACACACATATACAGCATGCAGCAGACGATACTGGTGGAAATAATACCAGATTAGTCAGTGGAGGCTGTATTCAGATTCTCTATCATTGGAGCCTATATTGGATGCCATGATTTCTGATGCCTAAGTAAGTGGATCTCCTCACTATCAGTAGAAGAATCACACTGAGCACTTAGTGTTTCTGCTCAGCTCAGAAAGGGGGATGGTGCCACTGAAACTGTGTCAGACAGCCTAAATGAAGGACTGACCTCCTTAGTGACTGTAAAGAGTTACTAAGCAGCTCAAGATGACATTCTGAAACACTGGCCTGGTTTGGATGCCTCAGATAGTCATTCGACAATTCGATGACATCCCAGCAGTCACAGCAAGCCGGTACATAGCCCTCCATTAGCTAACGTAAAAATCTGAGACCCTCTGGGTTAAACGTCCCATGAACCTGCAGAAAACCATACACAAAATAGCTTGGGTCCATGATGCGTGCCTCAGTATACTGAAGGCAATCACTACTGCATCATCATGGGCATCTCTGACAATGGTGGAAGGCTGAAGGGTGATGTCAATGTCAAGCTGCGCCTCGCTGGGATGCAAGAGTCACTTCAGAGGCTGTCGCACTCTCTGTAACTGTCCCTGGAAGCTCCTAATATTAGGCACATAGCACCTCATGAACACAAGGATTACGTTCTCCAGATGTGGGACAGGGCTCTGCCTTTGGAAGCCCTTCTCACAGACATCAAGCATACCCTCATATGCGTAAGGGCAGAGCACAAGAATCACTGCTTCTGTCAAGTCTTCTCTCACAAGTAGGGTAGGAAAAACTGCTTGGTAATGTTTATTTTTGCAAGAGCATTAAGGTCAGACCCCTTTCAGAAAAAAATAATGGAAACAGTAGCATTTCTGGTGAAAATGCAATACTGACTTTTGAAATGATAGCTAGAGACTCTGTTGATGGATTTGCCAGAGATTGTACTATCAACAGTCCCCTCAAGAGCCACTGCTGATCTGACAGCCGAAGTCAGACAGATTAAACCAGTTGTCCCCAGCTCATGACTTTGCAGGATTACTCATGAGATCCCCTGATGCTGTTCAATGTGGCAAGAACTTAACAGGAATCACAAAGCACAATATTGTCTGCTGGTGCCTGCTCAGCAACACTGTTCCTGGACCAGCAAGTAGTGAGGATCAGCCTCCAAGATCCAAGCATCTGAAGGTGGTGTGGCTGTGCTCTGCACTGCAACACAGGAACTTCAAGTCTGCATTCAGTCTGCATCCTCTTTGACAGAGCCTGGAAGCAAACCACAGAGTGAGCTCACATCTAGCATGAGAGATTATTTAAGTGGTCCCCCAGAACAGCACTGAAGGGCTCTAGAGGGAGCAATAGGCTTGTAAGCTACAGCCCCTGGGAATGTTTGAGAGGAACCAAGGGGGAAAAAATGAATCCCGGGTGACGGCATGGTCACATGAAGCTCCTGCGTGCTGCTTTAGTCATCCCTGAGCAGCGTTGTGACCAGATGGGTCTGGGGTGGGAAGGCACACTTAAAATATAAGTGACTGCATGGGCAGATACAAAGTGAATGAGAACAGGTACACTTCAGGCATGAGAGGCCACATCTTTAACCTATCACTTCATTTTAATCCAGGGCTTTCTTGGGCAAAAAGAGCCATTGATTCCATTTCATCCAGTTCATCCAAATGAGGACAGAAAAAGAATGGAGTTAAAGCTTCAGAGGTTTGCCCATGGTAGGGGGAGGAAAGGGAGGCTAACAGATGATGTAGTTACAATTACTGTATTTTGCTTTTGGGATTTGTTCTGATGATCACAGGTGTATCATTAGAGATTGTTTTTAAAATTGTTACAGTAAATTATTAGATAAAAAGAAGAAGAAAAAAGGGAAGGAGCCAAGAATGCTTGTGCTGACAAGGACAAAAGGTATAGATGGAAAAATATGAAATGTAATATACAAATGCAATACAAATTATATTACAGACATTTCTATCATATTAGTGAGAGTCTTCCAGGTTCTAGTAAGAAAGATTATAATACTTTTTTTTAAATCCAGCTCCTACTTTTTAGTGCTTATGTATGTACTTTTATTAAACCATGCTAAATGATCAATTTTATACATATTCACAATTTATCAAAACATCTTCCTGGGTATCTGTCAAAGTGAAGATGTCTACTGCATTTTAATAACATATCTGACTGTATCTCTGGGCAGGATGTAATACACACACTCTT